GTGGAAACATCCTCCCATTTTAATTGTTTACTTTTAGTTTAAGAAGCAAGACACTTGTTTTCTGCTCTTCTTACTTGGAACAGTACATTCCAGTAAGAGTATATTAGTACAGCTTTTGGAAGTTTCCTCAGTTATTTAATAAATGAATACATAGAGGCAATTGCCCCTTCAAGCCCAGGTAACTAATGGAGGATTGTTTATTGTTAACATCCATCAGTATACTGCTGGAAGTACTACTGGGCAATCAGTGGTTTTAGCATTGACCAATAATGCTACAGCTAGTACTTTACCCCCACATACCTGAAAAAAACTGCACAATTTCTTCTTTACTACAGCCAAATGGGAGTCCTCTAAGACGTACAAAACCATCATTAGCCGTATCAGGGCTGTTGGGACCAGTATGCTTCAGAACCCAATCCATTTCAACGTTGTTTGACTTGAAAACTGTAAAAGGCACTTAGAATTAATGCATTCTGAAACGCAGCAAGTGCTTCAAAAGTCATTTGCCTTCAGAAACTAGTCAACTTGTATGATATGCAAGTCCATTTGTCCTCTTACATGCATTTTAAAAAGAGACAGTAAAAACAGTTAACCAAAAAGCCATTAAGTACAAAAAAAAAAACATTTAGCCATTTACTAGACCAATTGAGTCAAACCTTCAACATATCTGTGTCCCATTGTTTCTCTGTCTTTTTTCAGTGCCAATTTCACATCGTCCTCTGATTCAAGTTCAACAAATGCTTCTCCACTTGGTCTGCCCTCCCTTGTGTAGATGAAACGGATACCCGAAGCCCCATTTAGAATTTTGCATTCTAAAAAGAGAAACAGGAAGGTCAGAATTGGTTTAATTATTAGAGAAACACGACGGCTGTAAATCGGCAGATATCCTAGAAGAAAAACTTATTACTAAGGACTAAAGCTGCATCAGGAAGACAAAAATGGAGTTCTCCTGATGAACTTTGGAAGATGATGATACTAAACTAAGGGCTTGACTACAAACAAAATACCCTTCTCTCCAAATCCCTACAGACTAGCAAAACATTACGGATAAAGTCAAATCAGCTATGTATTTTCCATGCTTTGCAGTCTCATTTTCTTGCTCATGTTGCTCTCCACTTTTGATTATAATATATTAAAGTGGCTTATGCTGTCTGGACCATATGAAGTGAATGAAGTCAGAGGCAGTTACAATCACAGCGTAAGCATAATGAACTAAATCAGAACCAACTCCAATCTATCAAGCTCCAGAAATACTTTAAAGGCCTTAAATATGCTTTCTTCAATGACTGTTCAGTGATTGCTACGGTAATGACTGACTGTAGCATGTTATTATTTGGGACTCAATACCTAACACCTGAGCGCCTATCAGAGCCATACCAAGAAGTAAAGTTTACTTAGGTGAGCCTGAAGCAAGAATTTAAGTTCTGCTTTAAACAGAAGCTCTCACTCTTCCCGGTGACCAAGAACTTAAGGCAACTGTAGCTATTCCAGCAACACCCAGGCTGAACTCCGTATCTATCTAGTCCCTACTAGCACAAAACATGGCTTTCCACAGTGCACCCTAGCTGGGGCACTTGCTGCATTACAAACTTCACCTGCTCCTGAAGCGCTCTAAATGCTTTCTAAAACAGCCCACTCCATCCCTGCTCCCAGCTTCCCCAGGAAGAACCCAGAGGGGCTACCAGGGAGCCAGGCCCCTCTCCCCCGATGCTGCTTACCAGAGAAAAACCTCTGCACCTCCTCTGCAGAGCAGGACCAGGGCAGCCCCCTCACTTTCACCACATATCCCTCGCCGCTCTCCGTGTTCAGCATCATGCTGGAGGTGAGGCTCGGCTCCGTCTCGGTTTCCGTGGCCGCTGGAGAAAACCAAACGGGGCCCTTTGAGAAGCCGCGGGGCGCGGCGGCC